GGAAGGCGCTGATCCCCGCGCGGGGAGACGCGGGAACCGGGAGGGTGGGACGGGGAGCGGGAGGAAGCGGCGCGGGCGGGAAGGGGCCGGAAGACCCGGGACAGCGGGGCCGGGGGGCTTGCTCCGTAGGAGAGAGCCTCGGGAAAAGGGGGGGCCCCGGGAGCGGGGACCGAGGCCGGGAGCCCTCGGGAGGRCGGAGCGAGCGGCGGCTCCCGGCGCCGGGAAGGGGCAGCGGCTGCGGGAGCAGGCGGCGCTGCGGGGCAGAGCCCGGGTCCGGACCGCTCGGAGCGCGGGAAGCGCCGCCGCGGGGCCGGGGAGCTGCCGGAGCAGGAACTGCATTCGGGAGCCGCATGGAGAACTGGAGCGGGGCGCCTGCGAGGGACCGCGGTGCAGCTGAAATGGGAATCGCCCCATGGACGGGAAGCGTCGAGGCCGTGCGCGGAAAGCGGCGGGAGCGCAGGGGGAAACGGAGCGGCTTCGCTGGGAAATGCTCCGGATGCTCCGCGGAGGCTGGAAAAGAGGGCAGGGATTGTGGAGCGGAGCCCTGCCCGGGGGCTGAGCCCCAGCGGGGGGACAGACACCGGCCCCCAAATAACGGAGCTGGGAACCAAGGGGCCTTGTGGCCGAGTAACGCGTGTCCTTGAAAGGTTTTRCGGATTTTTTTTTGGGAAAAACCCCAAACCCATGTGCGTCCGAGCGAGGGGGGAGAGGACGGCAGGTGCGATAGCGGGGTTGGAGCTTTGCAGCCTCGCGGGGCTCYCCATCGCCGCTCCGCATCCCCGCAGCGCCGGGATGGGAAACGCGTGGCGCTGCCCTGGCCGCAGCCTCCGGGCGCGAGCGGGGCCGCGGACACGGCGGGCAGGACGCGGGAGCTGCCGGGGGAACGCGCCCGGATCCGCGCACCGACCCACGGGGCCGCACGTGGCGCCCGAGGAGGCGCGGGGGCTTCCGCACCGTTTGTGTCGCTGCTTTCTCGTACGGAAGAGCCTGGATCCGCGCGCTGGCTGCTCGCGGTCCCCCCATCCAAAGGAGTCCAAAGGTTCTCCTCGGGGTGGCAGGGATTTGTTTTTCAGGCTCTCTTTTCCCATAGACCGGAGGTTTTTCCGCCGTTGCCTGTGTGGCTCTGCGAGCCCAGGGCCTCGAGGGCTGCACGTGTGGCTGGCAGGGATGCGGTTGGGCTTTAAGGCGCYGCGGTTCCGTCTCCGGGATTCTCGCAGGGCCTCTGCTCGGAGGCGCGCGTTGCGCTGGGCTCTGCGGAGCCGCTTTGTGCTGCTGGAAGGTCCGCGCGCCGGTTCCGCTTCGGAGGCGGCCGCCTCTCCTGGCGCGGCCTCAGCCTGGCAGCTCGGGCTCCCCGCAGAGACGCGCGGGGCTGGCCGAGGSGGCAGAGGCAGCAGGAGGAAATGCTTTGACTTTGGAACTCGTTAATGCCCAGCTGCCCTGGTAATCCTTTRAGACCTGGTTAGTGGAACTAGTCTGCGTTCAAGTAAATTTCTAGGTCTTTGCGTTGTTTTTCTCTGGGACGGCCCTTTGTTTCCGTTGTGAAACCACCCAACTTTCTGTGGGGAGAAAGTTTGGGACTTCCTTGGGGCTGCGGGCGGTTGGGAAGGGCACCRGGGTCTGAGCTGCCGTCCCGCGGGCCGGGAATCCTTCCCGGTGCCTCCCTGCATCCTCCGCCCACGGGCCCGGGAGCTGCTCCGTCTGGCGCTCGCTCCTCCGCTTTCCCCTTCCCCAGGGCTTTCAGCTTTGCCCCTGTGCTGAGAAGCATGAAAAGTCACCGGCGAGTTTTAACACAGGCCCGTCCGGAGCTTGTTCCCAAAGCGTTTCCCAGTTCTCCGAGGGAAAACTCCAGCTGCTTTCACACGCAAAGCATGGAAACGAAAGCTGCTTTTCGGCAGAAGTGCCCTGCGAGGAGCTCTCTGGCTGGATGAAGCTCGTGCAGGCCGTGGGACGGGGACCGTGTCCCCGGGAGGCAGCCGCAGCCGCCCCCTTCGTCCGCGGGCTCCGGGCGGCCTCTCCGTGCAGCCGGATGCACTGGTTTGCGGCCGCAGCAGCGCGGGAGCGGAGCGCGGAGCGCGGCCTGTGCCGCCCTGGGGCGCGCGGAGCGTGTTCGGCCTCTGCTGCTCTGCCCAGAGTGAAAGCCGGCCCAGCCGGGGGGGCTGCGCTTGGGAACAGTCGGGGGGTTCGGCTCTTCCCGGTGCCAAGAGGCTGGAATCCTTGTCCCGCACCGCCGGCTCCGCAGCGCCCTTCCTGCGTTGGGATGTGTGTGCGGGAGCAGCCTGCTACGCGGAGCCCCGGCCTGTCCCCGTGCCTGGTGTGTCCCTGGAATGTCCCTGTGTCCGACATGTCCCCGGGCCGGAGCGGCGCCACGGGGACGGCCCGGCGGGAGCAGCCCCGAGCGAGCGCGGGACTCGCCGGGCGCCGGAGGCTCCCGGTGCTCCTGGCCCCGCAGCGGCCTCTTCCCACCCGGGACAGTGGCCCCGCGGGGCTGCTCTCCCCGGCCTTGCCCTGCCCGTCCAGGGGACTCCTCTTGGCTGCTCCGGACGGAGCTCCCGCGGCTCCGCGCCCGGCCCGGGCTCCGGGGTGCAGCCGCGTCCTGCGGGGCTCGCTCGGCATCCTGAGATGACCGCGGCTSAAAGGAGCCGCCTGCCCCGAGGGGAGCCCCCGAGCTCCCGCGCCGCCGGAATCCCAAATCCCCAGCGCCTTTGTCCCCTGCCCGCCTCGCCTGCGCGGCAGAAAGGAGCCAGGGCGGAATTCCAGAGTGAAACACGATCCCGCGGCCGCCTTCCCGCGCCCCAGCCGGCGGCTCCACATTGTGGTGGTGCCGTGTGCTGGCCCGGAGCCTCCCGCTCCGGCAACACGGAGCCTCCCGGAGCCTCCCGCTCCGCAGGAGCCGCCGCACGGAGCCTCCCGCACGCCTACGTCCYGGCCCTTCCCTCCTTTTCTTTTCCTCCCGCTGTCCAATGTGACATGAAAACTCTGGCCCCGGAGGGCTGAGTATCCTCAGACGCTTAACGGGAGCTTCACGACAGGAAAAATGCYGGTCTGTAGGAATATCCCGCTGTCCCGGCTCTGGGGACGTCCCCGCTGTCCTGCGGCTCCACAGCCCGGCCCGGCGGGACCAGGACGGGCCCTTCCCGGCCTCCGCGCCCCGCGGCCTCTCCGCTCCCCGCGGCCTCGAGACCGGCGCGGAGGGCAGAGGGGCAGCCCGGCGCTGAGCGCGAGGACGCGGCTCGCGGCGCCGCCTGCACCCCCGTTTGCTCCGGAACCCCCGACACCCGCACTCGTAGAAACCACTTTGGGCCGTTTCTGCTCGCTGCTTTTGTGCCTGAGCAGCCCGAGCTGCCGGGGAGGGAAAAGCCGGGGTGTTTTTCCCTGTGCCCCCCGTTGCTGCGGGGCTCGTGGGGCCGCCAACACAAGCTCCGGCCCGATTCCAGACCCGCCGCCTTCCTGCGGCATCCCGGGATGCGCATGGGAGCTTGGGACCATTGGAGCAACTGGGAGAGGAGAAGGACGAAGCGTCTTTGGGGTTGGGGAGCCGGGTAAATCCCGCAGAGTGCAGGTGTGCGAAGCAAGGAAATGAGACTTGAGAGCGCCGTGAGGGATTGTGGCTGGACTTGAACTTGGATTGGCTATTTATTAACTTTTAATTAACACGAGCGGGGTGCTGCCTCCTGCCCAGGGCCGTGCGGCTCTGGAAGGGYCTTTGGCGGCGCCGGGCAGGGCTGAGGCTGGAGGGAAGGAGGTTGGTGCCGAGGCCGGGGAGGGTTATGGAAAGGGGGCTGGAGCCGGACGGTGCGGCGCTGGAGCGGCCGCCCCTGCGCTTCCGCTGGGAGCAGCGGCGCTGCGAGAGCAGAGTGCGCAGAACGGGGCAGGATCTGTCTGATAGGGGCGTCTTGGGAGGAAAGACCGAGCGAGCGGGGCATGTGGAGGCTGGAGAAGAGAAGGCGGAGAGGGGATCTCATCAAGAGCTATAAACACCTGGGGGTGAATGCRGGGAGGAAGRGGMCGAGCTCTSCTGGGTGGTGGCCGTGCCAGGCCCAGGGGCAGTGGGCACAAGGGGCAGCCCAGGCAGCTCCRTGTCCATGTGAGCAGGAACTTGTTTGGGGTGMGGGTGCCCGAGCCCTGGCCCRGGCTGCCCAGGGAGGCTGCGGAGGCTCCTGCTCTGGAGACCTCCCCAAGCCGCCGGGATGCGCCCGGGTGCCCCGTGCTCTGGGTGTCCCTGTGGAGATCCCGAGGGATCCCTTCCAACCTCAGCCACCCTGGGGTTCTGTGAAAACGCGGGCAGCACCGGGCAGGGTCTCGTTGGGGCRGGTGCAGTGGGGCGGCAGGGAGGCAGAGGGCCTCGCTCCGTGCCCACGCTGCGCGTTGATGTGCGGGAGTGCCCGGCGCTGCTGCGGCCTCGGCCGGGCCGGGCCTCACCCTGCGCCTCCTTCTGCCCTCGCAGCAGCGTCGCCCGTAAGCTGAAAAGCTGGCCAGCACAATGGGAAAAAAGCAGAACAAGAAGAAAGTGGAGGAAGTCCTAGAGGAAGAGGAGGAGGAGTATGTGGTGGAGAAGGTCCTGGACCGGCGAGTGGTCAAGGGCAAAGTGGAGTATCTGCTGAAGTGGAAAGGCTTCTCCGAGTAAGTGCCTGCGTCCGGGCGGGGGGGTTCGGGTGTCCCCCGCCAGCAGCCTCCAGGGCTGCTCGCCGCAACGTGGCCTCGTCCCCTGCGCCCTCTGCYCGGTGCGCAGCCTTGCCCGGGGGCTGGACCGGGACGGGAGCAGCGGACGCACCGTGAGCACAGCCGGGGCGAGGGGCMCGGCTCCTGCCCGGCCCAATGGGCCTTTCCCCTCTAAGCCAGGGCGAAACCAGTAGCCAGATAAAATAACACACGTCTGTCCTGAGGAGGGAAATAAATAGGCCCTGTGTGTGCTCCGCCTGCCCAGATAAGGACAGGGCCTGGTTTGTGAGCCAGGACATGAGCATCCAGGCTCCTGCTCCGCGCGGCCTCCTGTCTGCAACTTCTCTTGGCACTGAAAGCTGCAGCCAGCTCTCCTTCTATAAAGCTAATCTGGTGTCTTTGATTGTAGTGAAGATAACACGTGGGAGCCAGAAGAGAACCTCGACTGCCCAGACCTCATTGCAGAGTTCCTTCAGTCCCAGAAAACTGCACACGAGACCGAGAAGTCTGAGGGAAGCAAACGCAAAGCGGAGTCTGACACGGAGGATAAAGGGGAGGAGAGCAAACCAAAGAAGAAGAAGGAGGAGGTGAGTCAGCCCGGGCAGGAGGGGATTCTCTCTTCACCTCCCTCCCCCTGTTCTTGGCACYGTGTCAGGGGGTAGAGCAGCCCCTCTGTAAAACCTTAATCAAACAGCTCTGCACAGAGAGAAGAATATTCTGATTCAGTGAGGCACAGCTSAAGTGCTTTGGAAAAGCAATAGCTTTCTGGAGCAGGGATTAGCGCTTCCCGGAGCCCGGCCTCCTACTAAATCTGCAGCCAGCTCCAGGGCTAAATATAAAAGAACAATCCTTCATCCAAATGGGTAGGCAGCCCCTGGAGCAGGGACACAGCCAGCGTCCCTGGAGTAATGCACGAGGGGGGCTGCAGAAGGAGGCAGGGGCTGCCTGGGCTCCTTGGAAAAGGAGTGAGGTGGAACARCCTCCTGCTCGGGGTGCTCTTGGCTGCCCGAGAGAAGGGCCCCGAGAAAGGCTCTGCAGTCTGGTCTGCGCTGGAGCTGCTGGATCAGAGCCAGCACAAACAGTGTGACCCGCAGGGCCTTGGGATGCAGCAGAACGGCAGCCCTGGCAGGGCTGGGGCGCTGCGGGGCCGGGCAGGGGCTGGGGGTGGCCCCGGGGGCCGGGGTGACACGAGGCCCTTCCCGCGGGGGTCCGGGCGGCCGCCCCGCGACGCTACAGGTGAAATCCCGTCTCTTGCAGTCGGAGAAACCGCGAGGCTTTGCCCGGGGCTTTGAGCCGGAGCGCATCATCGGTGCCACGGATTCCAGCGGGGAGCTCATGTTCCTGATGAAGTGGTGAGTGTGTCTTTGTGTCTGTCACTTCTTCACTTATTCTGTGCCAGAGAGGGAAGGACCTGCGCCTGGGGAGGCCCTGCTACCTGGCATGAAATCTCTCGCGATGGCGCTGCTGCCTGAGGCGACCCTCTGCGCTGAGGCTATCGTGGATGTGAACCGAGCAGGTAGGGCCCTTGGGGTTGCGTGGCTCTTAGGGTGTCCCCGCAGCAGGCGCGAGCTTGGGGAGAGCGAGGGTGTCGTGGTGCGACCTCCGGCTCGCGAGGCCGCAGCCAGAGGAAGCCRTGACCACGGCCGGCGGCTCCAGAGGAGCAGGGCTTGTCGCCGGCGCAGGTGGGAGCCGGAGCAGAGGCAGGACCAGGCGCAGGTGCGGGAGCCGTTTGCTTTCGCGCCCGAGCTGGGGACGGGCTGAGCTTCCCTTTGGCTTCTCGTCCCCATCCCGGGCCACCCGGAGCCGAACTGGCACCTCAGTTGTCGCTGGATTCACGTGCTGCTTCCCGTGCTCTGGAACCGCTCGGGGGGCCGCTTGGATCCCCCAGACGGCTCAGGGCTTCCTCCGTTTTCCGGCTGCTTCTCCAATTCCTCCGGTCTCCGTTTCTTCCGCTCCCCCCTGCAGCCCGCTAACTCCYGCCTCTGCTCTGGCCTGTAGGAAGAACTCTGACGAGGCCGACCTGGTGCCCGCCAAGGAAGCCAACATCAAGTGCCCCCAGGTGGTCATCTCATTCTACGAGGAGAGGTTGACATGGCATTCCTACCCCTCAGAGGATGACGACAAGAAGGAGGACAAGAACTAGCCCCGGCGCCGCGCCGGCAGCCTTGGTGTGAAGATCCGAGCTGTGGGTTTGAGCGGGAGGGAGGGAGCGCGGCGCCGCTCGCCCAGCGCCCCGGAGGTGCCCTTTGAAGAGACCAGTATGGCTTCTGCGCCCGCCGGCGCCCGGCGCGGCTTCACGCCGCGCGCGTTGAAACCAGCCCGGCCCGGGGGGACGTGGGGGGGACGTTTCTTGGGGGGGGGGTTAACACCCCCGTGCTGCAGCGGGGGGAGGAGACGAGCCCCGCTGGGCGGCGGACGGGCCCTGCGGGCCGGGGGTGCAGATCGATACTGCTGCTTCTTCAAAGACATCTCGGCAACCCACAGCCTTCTTCCCACTAGTGTTAACTCTGCATTTCTACGGCGTAGCATGTGTGTAGTTTTTCTGTTTGTTGGTTTTTTCTTTTGCTCTTTACTGGTGTATCGGTTCGGGGGGAGGGACGGGGGGAAGCGGGTCTCTTGTTTCACTGGGGAGGGAGGGAGGGAGCTGAAGCCTGGGGACAATGTTCTAGATCATTTCCAGATCCTTTTTAGAAACTGCGTTTAACGAAACAGAAAAGCCCGGTGTTGATGACAGGACTAGGGAGACAGGGGCGCTGATCCGAGCCCAAACTGTGAACGTGCAGCTCTCCTGAGGCTCGAGTCCGCAAAGCCCTGAGCGCAGCAGGTTTCACAGGGGCCAGGGGAGACTCGTGCAAACGCGGACTCGAGGTCCGGGTTGTCCCGCGGCGGAGCYGCAGCTCCCGGCAGCGCCTGTGCCGGCCGGGGCCGCCGCCACRGAGCGGCTTTTAACCCAGGAGAGCCTTCCTGCCCTTCCTTCTGTTCCAAGGTGCTATTCCCAAAGTTAGGGGGAGAGACTTCGGACTTCTGCTTCCTTTTCTCACCTTGATTTCACTGTCCAGCCAGCAGCATCGGGCACCCGCTGATTGCGTCACGGGGGAGGGAGAGGAAATCAGCAACAGCACAAGGAAAATCGATTCCATGTTCGCCTCTAACCAGTGAGCGTTTGTAGGAGACCGGATTTTGGAGCTGGAGCCAGATGTGTTACCCTGAATCTTTGGAGTTTTTTTTTTTAATCAGATTTATTAAAAATACGGAACTATTTAATGTCTGGAGTCATGAGCCCCGCAGACTCCTGGCACCTCCTTGTAGGGTGGTATGTATTTAGACTTGCATTGTACAAACCTTTTTTTAAAAGCATGTGTTTAGGTTTCTGTGAAAACGTTTAAATGTAAAGTACGTGTTTGGATTTTAACTTCATACCGAGCTCTGTCAGTTTTTTGTCTCAATAAAATTTTAGATTTATAATCTTGATTTTTCTTTTCTTCCTTCTCTGCTTTGCTCCTTCCTGCAGCTCTTTGCAGGAGAGGAGGGCCGAGCGCAGAGCAGGTCGCGGCGGGAGCCGGGCGCGCTGGCGGCCCCGCGGGAGCGCGCTGGGCTGCGCCGCGGCCGCTGCCCCTGCCCGGGCGCCCGCGGGCTCTGCAGCAGCAGCAGCAGCAGCAGCAGCTCGTGAAGGTTCTTGTTGGTTGTGACGTGGGTAAGTGCCTTGTGCTTCAATTCCCACTGCAATGTTCCGCGGATTTTGTCGCTTGGCGTTTACGGCTCTTTGGCTCCCCGCGGTGACCAAGTGTTTCGAGTTGTGGTTGTGGTTCTGGTGCCTGTTTTAAGGGAGGCTGCTTCTGTCCTTAGGTCTCGCTGGGGACCAGGCCTGGGCCGTGTCCCTGTCCCCRCTGCGCAGGCCCCGGGCGCGTTCGGGCGCACACAGCCGGGTGACAGGCAGGTTGTTGGCCCCAGTGCCGCCTGTGCCCGGCGGCACGAGGAAATGTCGTCCCTACCCCGGCAGCCGGCGGAAGCTGCAATTAAACCCGTCCGTATCCAKCACTGGAGATGGGAGCAGCAGCGTCCGCTTAATTGAAGGCTGCAATTCCGCAGGGGGGCCCAGGGAGAGGGAGCGGGGCCAGAGGCCGCGCGATGCCGGATGCCGGGGCGGGATTGCGGCGCTGCCGAGCGCAGGGCTCCTGTGGGATCGTGGTGGGACAGGCTGGATAGCAGAGCCCGTGGGCCTGGCCCTGGCACCGCCTGGGCTCCAGGTGCAGGGAAAGAGCTGGAAAGGGCTCCTTTCCCTCCGGGAAAGGGCTCTGAGTGGAAGCTGCGACGGCGGCAGCGTCGGGGCGTGGGACGGGGGAGCCTGGAGCCAGGGAGAGAGGCCGTGTGGCGGGAGCAGCGGGACCCCCATGTGGTGGGAGCAGCGGGATCCCGTGTGGGACCCCCATGTGGTGGGAGCAGCGGGACCCCGTGTGGGACCCCCATGTGGTGGGAGCAGCGGGATCCCGTGTGGGACCCCCATGTGGTGGGAGCAGCGGGACCCCGTGTGGGACCCCCATGTGGTGGGAGCAGCGGGATCCCGTGCGGCAGCCGTGCGTGGAGGTCCCTTCTGGAGCTGCAGAGAGCGGGATGGATGCCGGGATGGATGGCGGGATGGCCGCTGTGCCCGTCCGGAGCGCGCGGTGCAGATGGACCCGCCCGCCCGGAGCAAACGCTGGCGCCGCAACCTGCCGGGAAGGTGGGAGCAGCCGGGAAGGGCGATGCCGAGGTCTGCGCAGCGGCCGGCGCCCGCGAGGAGGAGGAAGGAGGAGGAGGAGGAGGAGGAGGACGGGGGGGCCCAGGCGCTGCCGAAGCCACCGCTGCTGGGGGGGGGACACGCGGTGGCCCCGGCTCTGTCCCGCTCCCGGGGCCGCGGTGGCTGGTGAAGCAGCGACCCTGGTCCGGCCGGGACACTCTGCAAACAGGGGTCCCGCTGGGCACCGGCCCTGCCCGGGCCCTTGTTCACACGCACTTCTGTATTYTTTTGTTTTTGTTTTTAAAGCAAGAAGATCCACGAAACACAGACTTGTACAGTGAATAAGCTGTTTTATTTTTGTCCTGTGCTCACACAATCTCTCTTCTTTCCCTGACAGGTCACAGACCATTAAAATAAAGTTTCTAAGAGGAAAATAATTTAAAACCTACACGCAGGGCTGCATCCCGACCTCCCCGCACCCCCGGCACCTCCGCGGCTTGTGCTTCGTCCCCCACGGGAGCCGAGCGGCCGGCRGCGGCCGCGCGGAGCCCTCGGGCTCCCGCTCCCGGCGGCGCCGCTCGTCCCACGTGGAGCGGGCCGGGGAAGCGGCGGGAAGCGCCCGGGCTGCTGGCGGGGCCGTGCCCCCCAGCTGTGCTATAGTGTCCATAGAGCTTCTAGGATGGTCTCCGGCCCGGAGACCGACAGTGATCAAGGCACTACCCCCACCGCCCTCCTCCAAACAAAGTCAGACCCACACCCGGGGACAGAAGAGAATCCTATAATGTGATCACACGGTTACACGGAATCTTTATGGCAAAGAGAACATTTAGCAGCTTTGAACGGTTGGGCTTCTCCCCTGGACTCAACACAAGCACTCTAGACCCTAGAGGGGAAACGGGGGCTGAAGCCCGAGAAAATCAAAGCGCGGGTAAGAACCGGGAATCCTAAGGGTGTCTAGTTCTATAAGTGACAAGGCCGCGTCCGGGGCAGGGCCCCGCTCCCCTCGTGCTCGGCGCCGCCCGCACCGCCCCGCAGCTCCGGATCCCAAAGGAGCGGATCCCAACGGAGCTCCATCCCAACTGAGCGGATCCCAAGGATCTGACTGAGCTCAGGGCACGGGGGGATGCAGCACTGAGCTTAAGTGGCTCCTCTTAACCCTTTCCAGTCCCCTCCGCTCCCAACCACCCTGCAGGGAGCCCCCCCGCCCCCCAACGCGTGTCCGGGCTGGAAAGGGTTAACGGGAGTCGCGGGGCTTGTGTGTCCACGTGTGCACTGGTCTGCTCGAGGAAGGGATGGTGGGTAATCTGGAATTAAATCAGATTGGATCACACACACCGATGTCAAAACTGGTTCGGGGAAAAGAAAAAAAAAAGGCGGGGAGGGGGGGAAAGGGGAAAAAAAAAAACAAAAAACACAACTACCTGAAATCACAGAACTTTGGAAGTTCAGAAAAATGTCTCTCCTATAACTTGTTTTAAGTTCATTTGCTTAAATCTCTTTTCATACTTAAAGCCAGTTCCTAACAGTAGTTTTTCCACCCTGCCCATTCTCACCACCAGTGATGCCAGCTTATTTTCCTGCGCCCGAAGGGTGCCCGGAGGCGCTGGGCTCGCCGGGCGCCCTCCCTTCCTGCAGGAGCCGTCGGGACCGCGGCGCGCGGCCCCCGCGCCCTCCAGCGCCCCAGTCTCTCGCTGTCCCCTGCCCGGCGGCAGGCGTGGTTGAGAAGATATATTGGATACGAAGGCATGAAAGGTCCTCTAAGTTCCTCCAGGCTCGGCCCTTCTCCGGGTGCCCCGTGCGCGTGTGCCCCTCGTGCCGCTCCTCTCACTTCCTGCGGTCCTTCTGCTTCCTGTCGTGGCGCCGGGCCTGCTGCTCGGCCAGCGCGCGCGGCAGGAGGAGCACGCTGCCGTCGCTGCCGTACTGCAGCGCGTACTGGCTCGGCGAGTACGGCCGCCCGTTCTCGTCGCGCAGCCGGCCGAACACCTCCTGGTAGAGGCTCTGCACCTTCTGCTTCATCTGCCGGATGGACTTGAGAAACTCCACCTTCTCCCTGAGCAGTTTGGACTTGTCCCTCTGCAAGTCCTCGACGTCCCGTTCCAGGTTGAGGATGGTGTCCAGCTTCCTCTTGCGGCAGTTCTGCGCTGCCATCTTGTTCTTGCCGCGTCTCCGGATGTCCCGGATGAGGCTCAGCTGGGCCTCGCTCAGCTGGTACTTGGAGAGCAGCTCGTTGAACTCCTCCACGGGCAGGTTGATGATCTTGTCGTTGGTGAAGGGGATCTTCATGGCTCTGGCGCGGTGCTCGTCCCTGCTCATCTGCTTGTCCAGCAGCTCGGAGGGCTTCTCCTTGCCGCTCTTCTTGCCCGCGTTGCTGGGCAGCTTGGGCTCCTCRGGCTCCTGCGCCCCGGGGGCCATGTTGTAGGTGTGGTTGTGGCCAACGTGCTCCAGGTAAGGCAGGTAGTGAAGCTGCGAGGGGTCCTGATAGCTCATGCGGCAGAACTTGCTGTACTCGGGCTGGTAGCCGACGGCCCCTTCCGCCTCTTCAAAGTCCACGTTTTCAGAGTCTGAGCTGTAGCCGACAGCCCCTTCCTCGGAAAACGAGGAGGAGGAGGACGAGGAGGAAGAGGAGGACGAGGAGGACGAGGAGGASGAGGCTTCCGAGCTACTGAGGGAAGCAGGACTGTGGCTAGAATCCAGAGAAAGACCTGAGTCGGAGTCGAACTCTTCTTCCAGCTGGGAGGCCTGCACGGGGTTGAAGCCTTCCTCAATGGCCAGGTCCATCAAGCTGATCTCGTCCAGCATGGCCTCGTCCAGGAGCCCGCCCAGCGGGTCGGGCAGCTCGGGGCCACCCGTCTCGTTGCCGGTGCCGTTGAGCTGCGGCGGGAAGAAGATGCCGCTCAGGTTGGTGGCGCCGAAGGTGGAGTTGAGGCCCGTGGAGTTGTCGGGCGCCAGCTGCAGCAGGGCCGGGCCGCCCGCCGCCGCGGGGCTCTCCATGTCCGAGCTGAAGAGCGGCAGGTCCTGGGAGCAGCCGCCCAGCGAGGCCTGATGCAGGCTCACGTTCTCGTTGATGGGGGTGCCGGGCGCCAGGCTGTAGTTGGCGCTCAGCAGCTCCGCGCTCGAGCCGCCGTACAGGGCATCAGYGCTCGTGTCGCTCACTTCCATGGCCTGCCGGGGGTTGGAACCGCTCAGAACGGGGGCTCACGGCCCGCTCTTTTGGGGGCCCCTCTGTGCCCTTCGGCCGCCGTCAGCGAGAGCCGGCAGGAGGAGGGACGGGGGTCCCCTGGGAGGAGCCCACCTGCATCTCCATGGTGGACACGAGGTCCTACCACTGCCCACCTGCATCTCCATGACGGACACGAGGCCTTACCAGTGCCCACCTGCATCTCCATGATGGACATGAGGTCCTACCACTGCCCACCTGCATCTCCATGACGGACATGAGGCCTTACCAGTGCCCACCTGCATCTCCATGATGGACACGAGGTCCTGCCAGTGCCCACCTGCATCTCCATGACGGACACGAGGCCCTACCAGTGCCCACCTGCATCTCCATGACGGACACGAGGCCCTACCAGCGCCCACCTGCATCTCCATGATGGACATGAGGTCCTGCCAGCGCCCACCTGCATCTCCATGATGGACATGAGGCCCTACCAGTGCCCACCTGCATCTCCATGACGGACACGAGGCCCTACCAGTGCCCACCTGCATCTCCATGATGGACACGAGCTCCTACCAGTGCCCACCTGCATCTCCATGATGGACATGAGGTCCTGCCACTGCTGCTCCAGGTCGAAGGGGGCCTCGGCGTCGGCGAGCAGGGGGGGCAGGAGGTCCTGGCCGCCCGCCCGGCTCTCGCTGGGCGCCGCTCCGCTCAGGGCTCCGCTCAGGGTGGAGACGTCTGCGGCTGGGAACTGGGCACGTGAGGAGGCCGAGTGAGTGCCCGCTGCGCCCGCAGCGCCCGCAGCGCCCGCCCCTCTGCCGCTCGGCGCCCACCGCCCGCACCGCGTCTGTCCGCCACCCCTCGCCGGCGGCTAATTAGAGCGAAGCCAGGAGGCTTTAATTAACGGTGACCGCCCCCCGCGCTGGTTCGGCGGCCGCGGGGCGCGCGGGCGGGCGCTCACCCACCTCCGGGTGCTCCCCGAAGGGGAAGGCGGCCTCCAGCAGCCGCAGGCACTCGTCCAGGGACAGCGCCGCCTGCTCCGCCGCGCCCGGCACCTGCGGCGGGACACGGCGGGCAGCGCCGCGGGCCCGGGGAGGGACCCGCCGGGGAGCAGGGACCCAACGAGAGACCCACCGGGGAGCAGGGACCCAACCAGAGACCCGCCG